GCCTTGCTGCTGCTGCTGCTGCTGCTTTTGTTGCTGCTGCTGCTGCTCATTGTGCACTTGCTGCTGCTGCTCCTGGTGCCCGCTGCTGCTGCTGCTGGATACAACAGGCGTGCAGGTGAAGGAAGGCAAAGGCAGTTGCATCTGCTGCAGCTTTTGCTTTTGCTGCAGCCGCACGTTCCCGTTTGCTGCTGCTGCTCCTACTGCTGCTGCTGCTGTTGCTGCGGCTGCTGCTGCAGGTGCTGGACTTGAGACACAACGAAATAAAAGATATCGGCGCTACTGTGCTGCTGGCTGCGCTGCACCGCGGCAGCAGGCCGGCGAACGCGCAGCGGATAGCGCAGCACCGCCAGGAGCGGCAGCAGCAGCAGCAGCAGCAGCGGGAGAGGCAGCAGGAGCAGCAGGAGCAGCAGCACAGGGAGCGGCAGCGGCTCAAGAGGGACAGCAACGGGGACGACGTTGCCGGAGACCCGCAGCAGCAGCAGGAGCAGCAGCGGGAGCAGCAGCAGCAGCAGCAGCAGGAAGACGAGGAGGAGGAGGAGATGCAGCGCACTGAGGTGTACAGACACCTCAGAAAGCTAGACTTAGGGGGCAATGACCTCTGCGGCACGGATTTGCTGCTGCCGATCCTTTCTGCCTTCATTGCTGATGCAGCAGCAGCAGCAAACCGCCTCAGCTGCATCAGTTTGCAGTCAAACGACCTCGGCCCTGCTGCACTTGCTGCTGCTGCTGCTGCTGCTGCTGTCTACACCAACCAGCGCAGCCGCATTCTCCAAGCGCAAGTTGCAGCAAGGGAAGCTGCTGCAGCAAGAGAAGCCGCTGTGAGAGCAAGAGCAGCAGCAGCAGCAGCTGCTGCTGCTGCAGCAGAAGAGTCCTCTACATCACCTGTAGCTGCAGCAGCACCAGAAGAAGCGCTTGGCTCCTCTGCAGCAGCGGCAGCAGCCTCTGCTGCTGCTTCTGATGCTGAGGTTTGCTGCCGCAGGCAGCAAGTCCAGCATCACCGACCCTTTGGATGCGACTCCCTAATGTCTTGCTTCAGCAGCACCAGCAGCAGCGGCAGCAGCAGCATCAGCAGCGAGTACCGCCCTGTTTGCTGCAGTTTGTTAGTGGACATGCGAGACAACCCTCGCTGCAACGGCCGCAGCAGCGGCAGCAGCAGCATAGTTGGCTCTGCAGCAGCAAGTGGGAGCAGTTCATTTTATGGGTCGACCAGCAGCAGCAGCAGCAGCAGCAGCGGCAGCAGCTCCTCTCCCGATGCTGCTGTGGGCCAGTGCACCCCGGGCGCCTCGCCCGGAGCAGCAGCAGCAGCAGCCGCTGCTGCTGCTGCTGCGGCAGAACGAGACTCTCCTAGCTGCCTCAAAAGCGGCAGCACAAGCCCCACAAGCACTGGCAGCAACCGCAGCGGCGGCTGCTGCCGCTGCTGCTGCATAGTGCTGCACGACGACTCTCCAGAGGCAGCAGCAGCTGCAGCAGATGCTGCTGCTGCTGCAGTCCCACAAGCTGAGCGTCGCAAGAGGAGCAGAGGGAAGCCAGACGACACCAAGCGTAAGCTGCTGCTGCTGCTGCTGCTACTGTCGTTCCTGCTTCTGCTGCTGCTAGCCACATCTTTTTCCTGCACAGTTGTTTTTATGTTGCAGGCACTGTGCTGCTGCTGCTGTTGCTGCCGCTGCTGCTGCGGCTACTGCTGATGCTATGCTGCTGAATTGCTTTTGTGCTGCAGGTCGCGGCACTAAGATATACTGTGCTGCTGCTGCTGCTGCTGTGGGTTGGCCGAAGCAGCGAAAGCAGCAGCAAAGGGAAGAAGACTGCACGAACTGCGGCGGCTGTTGCTGCTGCTGCGACTGCACCCGAGCGCCCGCAG